CAGTTAAAGGTGTTCTCAGTTAAAGGTGTTCTCAGTTAAAGGTGTCCACAGTTAAAGGTGTTCTCAGTTAAAGGTGTCCACAGTTAAAGGTGTCCACAGTTAAAGGTGTCCACAGTTAAAGGTGTCCACAGTTAAAGGTGTCCACAGTTAAAGGTGTCCACAGTTAAAGGTGTCCACAGTTAAAGGTGTCCTCAGTTAAAGGTGTCCACAGTTAAAGGTGTCCACAGTTAAAGGTGTCCACAGTTAAAGGTGTCCACAGTTAAAGGTGTCCACAGTTAAAGGTGTTCCATAGTTAAAAGTACACCTAAACAGGTGTAAAGATAAAGAAATTTCTTCTCAAATAATTTGAGATTACTCTGGTAGAAACATTTACAACTTGAAAAGTCTAGTCACAGTTTACACAATTGGTCACTGCTTACACCACTAGTCACAGTTTACACAATTGGTCACTGCTTACACCACTAGTCACAGTTTACACAACTGGTCACTGCTTACACCACTAGTCACAGTTTACACAACTGGTCACTGCTTACACCACTAGTCACAGTTTACACAACTGGTCACTGCTTACACCACTAGTCACAGTTTACACAATTGGTCACTGCTTACACCACTAGTCACAGTTTACACAACTGGTCACTGCTAACACCACTAGTCACAGTTTACACAACTGGTCACTGCTTACACCACTAGTCACAGTTTACACAACTGGTCACTGCTTACACCACTAGTCACAGTTTACACAACTGGTCACTGCTTACACCACTAGTCACAGTTTACACAACTGGTCACTGCTTACACCACTAGTCACAGTTTACACAATTGGTCACTGCTTACACCACTAGTCACAGTTTACACAACTGGTCACTGCTAACACCACTAGTCACAGTTTACACAATTGGTCACTGCTTACACCACTAGTCACAGTTTACACAACTGGTCACTGCTTACACCACTAGTCACAGTTTACACAACTGGTCACTGCTTACACCACTAGTCACAGTTTACACAATTGGTCACTGCTTACACCACTAGTCACAGTTTACACAACTGGTCACTGCTTACACCACTAGTCACAGTTTACACAACTGGTCACTGCTTACACCACTAGTCACAGTTTACACAATTGGTCACTGCTTACACCACTAGTCACAGTTTACACAACTGGTCACTGCTTACACCACTAGTCACAGTTTACACAACTGGTCACTGCTTACACCACTAGTCACAGTTTACACAACTGGTCACTGCTTACACCACTAGTCACAGTTTACACAATTGGTCACTGCTTACACCACTAGTCACAGTTTACACAACTGGTCACTGCTTACACCACTAGTCACAGTTTACACAACTGGTCACTGCTTACACCACTAGTCACAGTTTACACAATTGGTCACTGCTTACACCACTAGTCACAGTTTACACAACTGGTCACTGCTTACACCACTAGTCACAGTTTACACAACTGGTCACTGCTTACACCACTAGTCACAGTTTACACAATTGGTCACTGCTTACACCACTAGTCACAGTTTACACAATTGGTCACTGCTTACACCACTAGTCACAGTTTACACAATTGGTCACTGCTTACACCACTAGTCACAGTTTACACAACTGGTCACTGCTTACACCACTAGTCACAGTTTACACAACTGGTCACTGCTTACACCACTAGTCACAGTTTACACAATTGGTCACTGCTTACACCACTAGTCACAGTTTACACAATTGGTCACTGCTTACACCACTAGTCACAGTTTACACAACTGGTCACTGCTTACACCACTAGTCACAGTTTACACAATTGGTCACTGCTTACACCACTAGTCACAGTTTACACAACTGGTCACTGCTTACACCACTAGTCACAGTTTACACAACTGGTCACTGCTTACACCACTAGTCACAGTTTACACAATTAGTCACAACTTACACAACTAGTTACAGTTTACTGTATGTTAATATTTGAAAACATTGGTGGGCTGTTATTGAATGAAAGGATGTATGTTGTTTTGACTGTATGGTAGTATGTTTTGATGAGTGTGTGCTCTTATTGAATGTATGATAGTATGTTTTAATGAGTGTGTGCTCTTAATGAATGTATGGTAGTATGTTTTGATGAGTGTGTGCTCTTATTGAATGTATGGTAGTATGTTTTGATGAGTGAGTGCTCTTATTGAATGTATGGTAGTATGTTTTAATGAGTGTGTGCTCTTAATGAATGTATGGTAGTATGTTTTGATGAGTGTGTGCTCTTATTGAATGTATGGTAGTATGTTTTGATGAGTGTGTGCTCTTATTGAATGTATGGCAGACATGCCTACCGTCCCGCCAAAATCGGAACCGTCCCGATTTTTCACCTAAAAAAGTAATTTGTTCCGTCATTCCGATTTTGAATAAGTTTGTTCCGATTTTTTGAAAAAAAAAATTAATAAAGAAAGGTAATAAAGTGAATTGAAAAAGAGGCAGGAAAAGGCGATTATCTCCCTTTGGCATACGTTTCTGTTTCCTAGTTGACTTAAATATTTACAAGTATCATCTAATATTAGATCTAGCTAGTATATCTACTACTACTAGGTCTAGAATTGTAACTAGATCTACTAGTAGATACTGAAATAGTGAACACTGATCTATCTTTAAGTTGTAACTTAACTAGTAACTACTATTATGAAGAACTTAGTAAGAAGTAACTAGGACTTTTACTAGGTAGATCAAGGGTCTTTGCTCTTAACTAATATATTACATATGATAAAGCCTTCAGCATTTGTTATTCAAATTAGTATAGCCTAGAACATAGCAAGGCATAAATAATCAAATCAATAATGTTATGCCAAAGCTATGGTTTTTATTGGGGGGAGGGTGTCAGGTTACTGGTTAACTTTTTAAAAAAAATGTAAGATAACATTAATAAGCAGTATTTAAATGTAGCCTAGAGACTAGTTATATATGACTAGAAGCCTACTAATGTCATTAGAGTAATTTTTAATTGATTATTTTTATTTTTGATTTAGTAAAATAGCGTCCGTGCGTATGTTCCTCTTTTTGGATACAAATTCCTTTTTTAAGGCATGACTGTTACTACTTTTGGCTGACAGGGGTAGGCATGTCTGGTATGGTAGTATGTTTTGATGAGTGTGTGCTCTTATTGAATGTATGGTAGTATGTTTTGATGAGTGTGTGCTCTTATTGAATGTATGGTAGTATGTTTTGATGAGTGTGTGCTCTTATTGAATGTATGGTAGTATGTTTTGATGAGTGTGTGCTCTTATTGAATGTATGGTAGTATGTTTTGATGAGTGTGTGCTCTTATTGAATGTATGGTAGTATGTTTTGATGAGTGTGTGCTCTTATTGAATGTATGGTAGTATGTTTTGATGAGTGTGTGCTCTTATTGAATGTATGGTAGTATGTTTTGATGAGTGTGTGCTCTTATTGAATTATGGTAGTATGTTTTGATGAGTGTGTGCTCTTATTGAATGTATGGTAGTATGTTTTGATGAGTGTGTGCTCTTATTGAATTATGGTAGTATGTTTTGATGAGTGTGTGCTCTTATTGAATGTATGGTAGTATGTTTTGATGAGTGTGTGCTCTTATTGAATGTATGGTAGTATGTTTTGATGAGTGTGTGCTCTTATTGAATGTATGGTAGTATGTTTTGATGAGTGTGTGCTCTTATTGAATGTATGGTAGTATGTTTTGATGAGTGTGTGCTCTTATTGAATGTATGATAGTATGTTTTGATGAGTGTGTGCTCTTATTGAATGTATGGTAGTATGTTTTGATGAGTGTGTGCTCTTATTGAATGTATGATAGTATGTTTTGATGAGTGTGTGCTCTTATTGAATGTATGATAGTATGTTTTGATGAGTGTGTGCTCTTATTGAATGTATGATAGTATGTTTTGATGAGTGTGTGCTCTTATTGAATGTATGGTAGTATGTTTTGATGAGTGTGTGCTCTTATTGAATGTATGATAGTATGTTTTGATGAGTGTGTGCTCTTATTGAATGTATGACTTGTCTCTTGGACTAAATGAACAGCTGTCCTGCAGGAGACTGGCAGAGTCTATTGTCAGGACTGTTTTTAGTTTGGAGCCACACTGTGGGGGGGGGGGGGGGGGGGCACACTTTGAAACAACTTGAGGGGATCTCTTTACCGTGTAGGCTTGGCCAATATGTCATAGCCTTTGTTTAGGTTGTTTCCCCATAGTGGTTGCATGTTCATCTAATATTCATGCTTCTCTCCTACGTTTCATGGTAAAACTGAATCATTGGTCATCATTAATCATCCTAATTGATATCGCTAAGCTAATTGACCTGAATTTGTAAAACAAATAAGTGGTGTGTTTGCTTTTTACCAGTTCTGTGGTCACCATGTGTCACCATGTTTATATCAGTTCTGTGGTCACCATGTTTATATCAGTTCTGTGGTCACCTTGTGTCACCATTTTTATATCAGTTCTGTGGTCACCTTGTTTATATCAGTTCTGTGGTCACCATGATTATATCAGTTCTGTGGTCACCATGTTTATATCAGTTCTGTGGTCACCTTGTGTCACCATTTTTATATCAGTTCTGTGGTCACCTTGTTTATATCAGTTCTGTGGTCACCATGATTATATCAGTTCTGTGGTCACCATGTGTCACCATGTTACTGTTTCCTGACTTCTCCCCCTCTACACAAACCCTTTCCAGCTTACACTGCTGGGTTAATTGTCAGTGTTTCTATGTCAAATGTCAGTCATTGCTAGAGACTAAATGAAAGCTGGTGGAGTGGGGTTTGACATGGTTCTGTTGAACTCTGTCAACATCTAGCAGTTGTCATCACCATGCGCTATTGATCTAACGTTGTTTTGTTTTATAAGGCACTTAGTATCTGGGCCCTTTGTTTTTCACATTGTTTTTAACCATTTCTCTGAGTTTTGTGTATTTTAAATGACAACCATATTTATTTACATCTTACCAATTTGGCATTTGTTTAAAATGATGGAAAGACACCTGAGATCCCGGAAGCATCACAAAGTGGTCAAAATTTAGCACCGGCCCCTGTCAAGAATGATTTAAGTGTAAGTGAGTTCCTATGGTAGATCAAATCAGCGACATTGGTGATGATTATGCAGATGTGGATGACCCCCCCTCCCCCATAGTTGTGTGACTTAGCTGTACTCTATCTATGTGATTATTGACGTTTGTGACTCTTATCTCTACCCATGTTCCCTCAATGCTTTCATTATTTTCATTGATTCTACTAGCTCATTCATTCATGAGTTGTTCTGTTGGGATGATTTATTTAAGTACAAGAGCATTGTTTTCACTGATTGTATGCCTCCCCTAACAGTTGAAACCAATGTTCTTGTGTTCTGTGCTAGCCAGAGCAAGAAGCCTGGTCAACTCTTGTTGCTCCACTCCAGCTGGAACTCTATTTCCTAATGCCGCTGATTGTTTGATCTACAATAGGATTTGTTGCTGTGTTAAACATTGAGGCTTTGTTGCTGTGTTAAACATTGAGGCTTTGTTGCTGTGTTAAACATTGAGGCTTTGTTGCTGTGTTAAACATTGAGGATTTGTTGCTGTGTTAAACATTGAGGCTTTGTTGCTGTGTTAAACATTGAGGATTTGTTGCTGTGTTAAACATTGAGGATTTGTTGCTGTGTTAAACATTGAGGCTTTGTTGCTGTGTTAAACATTGAGGATTTGTTGCTGTGTTAAACATTGCTTACAGATGTTTGGCTGTGTTGTAGACTGATGTTTGGCTGTGTTGTAGACTGATGTTTGGCTGTGTTGTAGACTGATGTTTCCTCACAGTTACCTACAGTGGAGGCAGTTCTGACAGTTTAGCACACCTTAAACAAAACGTATTAAAAAAATGTTTTATGTGAGTAGATAGATGTCAGTTTAAAATTCTTTTCTTTATGTTTGCAGGAAGATGCTAGACAGTTTTTTGCATTGGCTGGCCATGCAGACGAAGGAGAAATGTCGGCCGAGCTGTCTGGCATTATGAAACGGCTGTGGAAAGATGTTGGCGTTCAGGAGTGTTTCAGCAGGTCGCGAGAGTACCAGTTGAACGACTCGGCAGAATAGTAAGTGATATAGCATCATATTTTTTATATTGAGGCAGAATAGTGATTCATTTCTTACATGGAGTTCTTTAGAATCTTGAATTAATCACGGCAGTATAATATGTTCCTAGACACTTTATTTCAAATAACCTGAACACTTATTTATTTCCTCTGTTTAAAAAAAAAAACAATAAATGAATTTCTGTTTTTACTTTCTTGTGTAAGTTGAGTGTAAAACACTTTAAGTAATTAAGGTTTTTAATTGCGTCACAACAACACTCCTTAAAAAATAATCCTCTGTAGCAGTCATGGCATTGTAGCCATTCAAAAACAAACACGTTTCTTTCACAAATCATTTTCTAGTCTAGCAATTAATTTTGATAATTGAATTTGGTGAAGTTTCAAAGCTTAGGCGCCACTAACTATGATCTAAATTTAGCGCGCCCCACCCTAACTATGATCTAAATATAGCGCGCAACCCTAACTATGATATAAATATAGCAAGCGCCAACCTAACTATAATCTAAGAAATATAGCGCCCGGAGGTTTTTGATATATATTATAAGAAATGGAAAAAAAGTTACAGGAAATTGCGTAAAAGTTGATAGAATTAAGAAAGCAATGTATATATGAAACTTTGTACAGCTAACTAAACATTTTCTGTGTTTACATGTAACTAGAGTAAAATACTACTTTCATTAACCAGTAATTGCTTAAAGCTTGAAAAGAGCTTACTTAAAATGGTACTTAAGCTATCAGTATTTTAAAATACAGATATAAAGTATCACTACTGTATATATTGTGCATCTAACACAGTACTTAATTAATTATTTAATCGCAGTCATTAAAATGAACATAGTCACCAGGACCATAGCTCTCACGGGAAAGCCTAGGGTGCCAAATCTCACCCTGCCGGGGCGCCACACCTGCAAAATTAACTATTTGTTTCCAAAAATACCTCCCCCTGGAGTTTATATCATCAACCCCCCCCCCCCCCCCAAGATTGATGGCACAAACTCACACAGCTACCTGACCAGCGACATAACTGACCTGTGACCTAATGACCTAATCATTAGACCTGTGACCTAATGACCTACTCATTTGACCTGTTCCACACAGCTACCTGAATGCCTTGGACCGGATTTCAGCACCTGGTTACATCCCCACAGAACAGGATGTTCTGAGGACAAGAGTCAAGACCACTGGCATTGTGGAGACTCACTTCACATTCAAAGATTTACACTTCAAGTAGGTTCTCTAAACCCTATACACTTCAAGTAGGTTCACTAAACCCTATACACTTCAAGTAGGTTCACTAAACCCTATACACTTCAAGTAGGTTCACTAAACCCTATACACTTCAAGTAGGTTCACTAAACCCTATACACTTCAAGTAGGTTGACTAAACCCTATACACTTCAAGTAGGTTCACTAAACCCTATACACTTCAAGTAGGTTCACTAAACCCTATACACTTCAAGTAGGTTGACTAAACCCTATACACTTCAAGTAGGTTGACTAAACCCTATACACTTCAAGTAGGTTCACTAAACCCTATACACTTCAAGTAGGTTGACTAAACCCTATACACTTCAAGTAGGTTGACTAAACCTTATACACTTCAAGTAGGTTCACTAAACCCTATACACTTCAAGTAGGTTGACTAAACCCTATACACTTCAAGTAGGTTGACTAAACCCTATACACTTCAAGTAGGTTCACTAAACCCTATACACTTCAAGTAGGTTGACTAAACCCTATACACTTCAAGTAGGTTCACTAAACCTTATACCCTTCAAGTAGGTTCACTAAACCTCATACATGGCCAATGCTCTGAGATGCGCTGGTTTTTGCTACTGCATTAAGTTTTCTTACTGGAAGGGGTAAAAACACTAAGGTTCCCCTTTGTGACCAATCTTTCTAGGGCAGAACAAGTAGAGTTCATCTGTATCTTGACATGGTATGGTCAGCCTTATGTCCAGCTGCCTTGACTTTCCCATTAGAGCTAGTGGACTTGGGAATGTCCTACAGACTCCTGACCAAGATCCATTGAATTGTCTGACACCTCCTCTTGTAGTTGGTCTGATTTAGTCTGACTGATATTTGGGTCACTCAGTTGAGGTAGAGTGATGGGTCAATCATTTCAGGCTTAAGTAAAACAATAAAATTATCAGTATGAACATTTTTTGATGGAGATATTTTTCTAACCTTGAACCAGAATGTTTGATGTAGGAGGTCAAAGGTCAGAGAGAAAGAAATGGATCCACTGCTTTGAAGGTGTGACAGCCATTATTTTTATTGTAGCCATGAGTGAATATGATCTCACGCTGGCAGAAGACCAGGAAATGGTATGTACACAGTTGTCAGCTAACATACACTTTTACCAGCTTACAAACTTGCTAATACACGTTTTACAATCTTTTACAAGCTAACATCCATATGAACTATGTGTGAGGTACTGTGTGTGAAGTGCTATGTGTGAAGTGTGAGGTGCTATGTGTGAGGTGCTATGTGTGAGGTGCTGTGTGTGAGGCACTATATGTGAAGTGTGAGGTCCTGTGTGTGAGGTGCTGTGTGTGAGGCACTATATGTGAAGTGTGAGGTGCTGTGTGTGAGGTGCTATGTGTGAGGTGCTATGTGTGAGGTGCTATGTGTGAGGTGCTATGTGTGAGGTGCTGTGTGTGAGGTCCTGTGTGTGAGGTGCTATGTGTGAAGTGTGAGGTGCTATGTGTGAAGTGTGAGGTGCTATGTGTGAGGTGCTGTGTGAAGTGTGAGGTGCTATGTGTGAGGTGCTGTGTGAAGTGTGAGGTGCTATGTGTGAGGTCCTGTGTGTGAGGTGCTATGTGTGAGGTGCTATGTGTGAGGTGCTGTGTGTGAGGTGCTATGTGTGAGGTGCTATGTGTGAGGTGCTATGTGTGAGGTGCTATGTGTGAGGTCCTGTGTGTGAGGTGCTATGTGTGAGGCACTGTGTGAAGTGTGAGGTGCTATGTGTGAGGTGCTGTGTGTGAGGTGCTATGTGTGAGGTGCTATGTGTGAGGTGCTGTGTGTGAGGTGCTATGTGTGAGGTGCTATGTGTGAGGTGCTATGTGTGAGGCACTGTGTGTGAGGTGCTATGTGTGAGGTGCTATGTGTGAGGTGCTATGTGTGAGGTCCTGTGTGTGAGGTGCTATGTGTGAGGCACTGTGTGAAGTGTGAGGTGCTATGTGTGAGATGCTATGTGTGAGGTCCTGTGTGTGAGGTGCTATGTGTGAAGTGTGAGGTGCTATGTGTGAGGTGCTGTGTGAAGTGTGAGGTGCTATGTGTGAGATGCTATGTGTGAGGTGCTGTGTGTAAGGCACTATGTGTGAGGTCCTGTGTGTGAGGCACTGTGTGAAGTGTGAGGTGCTATGTGTGAGGCACTGTGTGAAGTGTGAGGTGCTATGTGTGAGATGCTATGTGTGAGGTCCTGTGTGTGAGGTCCTGTGTGTGAGGTGCTATGTGTGAGATGCTATGTGTGAAGTGTGAGGTGCTATGTGTGAGGCACTGTGTGTGAGGTCCTGTGTGTGAGGCACTGTGTGAAGTGTGAGGTGCTATGTGTGAGATGCTATGTGTGAGGCACTATGTGTGAGGTGCTGTGTGTGAGGCACTGTGTGTGAGGCACTGTGTGAAGTGTGAGGTCCTGTGTGTGAGGTCCTGTGTGTGAGATGCTATCTGCGTATCTTTGTGTTTTCAGAACCGCATGATGGAGAGCATGAAACTCTTTGACTCTATCTGTAACAACAAGTGGTTCACTGAGACCTCCATCATTCTCTTCCTCAACAAGAAAGATCTCTTCGAGGAGAAGATAAAAAAATCTCCGCTTACTATTTGCTTTCCTGAGTACACTGGTAATATTTGGTGGACTACTGGTCACATTTTGGGATTCTGTTTCCTAAATTTATTGGGATCATGTTGCCTAAATTTATTGGGATCATGTTGCCTAAATTTATTTGGATCATGTTTCCTAAATTTATTGGGATCATGTTGCCTAAATTTAATGGGGTCATGTTGCCTAAATTTATTGGGATCATTTTGCCTAAATTTATTGGGATCATGTTGCCTAAATTTATTGGGATCATGTTGCTGTATTGTCACTCTGTATGTTGTCAGGTTATTCCAAGCTTACAATACAAACTTTTTCTGTAGGGGCCAACACATATGAAGAAGCAGCCGCTTATATTCAGCTTCAGTTTGAAAACTTGAACAAGAAGAAGGACACGAAGGAGATCTATTCCCACTTCACTTGTGCCACAGACACCAACAATGTGCAGTTTGTCTTCGATGCTGTCACAGATGTTATCATAAAAAATAATCTCAAGGACTGCGGCCTTTTTTAGACTCAATTCTGGTAAACCTTTAGCATCAGGGGACATCCTAGTCTGGTCAAATTTAGTTTCAGGGGACATTCTAGTCTGGTCAAATTTAGTATTAGGGGCCATTCTAGTCTGGTCAAATTTAGTATCAGGGGACATTCTAGTCTGGTCAAATTTAGTATCAGGGGACATCCTAGTCTGGTCAAATTTAGTATCAGGGGCCATTCTAGTCTGATCAAATTTAGAATCAGGGGACATTCTAGTCTGGTCAAATTTAGTATCAGGGGACATTCTAGTCTGGTCAAATTTAGTATCAGGGGCCATTCTAGTCTCGTCAAATTTAGTATCAAGGGACATCCTAGTCTGGTCAAATTTAGTTTCAGGGGACATTCTAGTCTGAAATAAGATAATCACTACTTTTTGGTCTGATAATAAAAAATACCAAAAGAGTAGTTAAGGAAAAGTCTGGAACCTTTTAAAAGAAAACAAGTTTTTTTTTTGTGTCAGTGTAGTTAAAGGGATTTTAGGTGAAATGTCTTATCTCAAGTAATGTTCTTTGAACATGTTCCCACAATTTCGATTTAATAGGGCCTGGCTAGATACTTGAGCTGTTTTCTTCTTTGATTATAATTCCAAGCCTAATGTTCTGAACTAGACTGATGAGAGAAAAAACTAGCCTGGTTTGAATTTAGTCGTCTGTTGCTGAAACTCTTGTCTTTCTGGTGCATTAGATTTAACTAGAATAAAGTAAAAATGTATTGAAATCTACCCATATAATTATAGTAAACATATATTGAGATGTACCCATATATAACTGAATCCACTTTGTTGCAGATGCTATTTAAAAAAGAGAAGAGAGAAATCCATAGATGGATGGACTTCCCCACACAGCAGCATCTAGACATGGAATACAACCCATCCTTTTCTTTAACCTTACGCAACAGTTTTCTGCTATCTCATGTTTTCATTGCCTCAGTTGTTTGTTTCAACATGTGAGCAAAGATAGGTCAATTCATGTTCATCATCTCAATTAGACTGGCGTACATGATCCTAACACTGGCAGTGTGCTACTGCCGTCATGTTTTGTTAGGACTTTGCTGTCACTGACAGTTTGACCATCAACATCTGGTGACAGAATCGGATGAAACCAATGACATCTCACTCAAGACCTGTGACAGACGACATTTATCATCCACCTCTCATCATTCTTGTGTACAAGCTCACACGTCAGCTGTTTTGTTGTGTTTGTCTAGCTGGCTCTGTGTACACAGGCTTCTCATCCTTAGTGACCAAACTAACTTTTTAAGACCAGGACTTTTTTTACTACATTTATTATTTTTACACAATCAAAATTAAATGGTTTTTAAAGTAGTTGTTGTCCAGATGTAGGTATGCAGACTGTACCTTAGATATTGTCTGTCTCTCCCTCCCCTTCATCTGTGTGCTGAGCTTACTGTGGACTTGTGCTGTAGCCACCAACATTTTCTTGCCATAACAAATATTTTGGCTGGTTTATAAACCCCCCCTCCCCCAATTGAAATAGATTTAAAATTAAGTCACACATTAGAATTATTTTTTTAAACAGTTTCTTAGCTAATGAAAGTTGATAATTGATTTGAAAATAACTGGTCCCATTTTGTGGATCGGTCTGACATCCACCCCAAGCATGGCTCAAGATAAATTATTTTCTACAACCTGACTGCTTTTGCTAAACAGCATTAAAACTTTTTGAGCCCTCTCACAATAATTGTTAATTCATTTAGGCAACATTTTGTTTTAAGATCTGCTTTTAATTTTTTTTCTTTGTTTTACAATTGTCTTTGAATGATCTGAATGGGATATTAAATTTTGAAGTGCATGAATCTATTGTTACTGTCTCGCATCAGCTGTTCATGCTTAGTCTGCACTTCACTGGCTAGACTTTTAGTCATTTTGTTAGACCAATTTTATTTTTACACTATTTTTCTACATTTGCTACATTTAAAAGGTTTTAATGTGCTAAAATTTGCCAGTGACTTCTGTTTACTGTAACTGTTTAGGTCCATACTCCACGGCATTTAGCTTTAATCACCTCCATATTTTATTTGGCTGCACCATTCCATTTTTTAAATTATTTTGTTTTTAGAAGTTGCCATCCAATTGAAGTGTAATGCTGAGACTACCTGCTGAGTTATTTTAGATGGCCAACTTGTGAGGCTCTTGTAAAAAGATGGCCAACTTGTGAGGCTCTTGTGATCCAACATTTTGTGTTCCTGTGTTGATTGGCTGTCAATTCTCCACTGCTTTGTTAATGCTGTCCTTAAAGAAAACAAGATACCTCACACGACTGCATGTCTTATAACCCCCCTTTGTCTTCAACTGCTATCTTGAATGCTCCTTTTGCTTCTATTGGTTCTGCTGGTGGCATAATTCTGTGTACAATCATAATATTCTAACTCTAGTCATTAAGTAGGATGTGCTAGCATCATTTGGTGCCAGCCTTGAGTAACCAGGCTTGTTGTGTCACTACATTCTAGAGACAATTGTTCCCAAACATCTGACTAACATTGAGCTGCAGCAAATGACAAACATTAGAAATGGTTACTGATGAATGCTCATTACATGTTTTATTTGCCACTCAAACCTTAATTAAAGATATTCTTTATAACAGTTTCCTATTGTTTACATCATTTAAAGTTCAACTTTTACACTTTTCATTATTAAAAGTTTTAACTTTTTACACTTTACAACTTGAAAAATGAACCTTTTGGATTTGACTGGAACTTTCAAATGATTTAAATAAAAAAAAAATGTGTTGATAGTATTGAAGGAAGATGAATATTCACTATGCTGTTTGACCTGTGTAGCTATTGTCTTGTAAATATGTTCTGTCTTGTTATGGCCCACTGACCCTACCCATTTAAAATTTTTTTTTTTAAAGTCTGACCCTCCTGAGTTTTGGTATCTCCCCCCCCCCCCCCCAACTAGAAGTTTGAGCTAGATTTATTTTCCCAACTTTCTCAGAACTTTATTAAAAAAAAATATAATGCAAGCTCCATAGTCCCCCTGATGTCAGTTCATCATTTTATTTGTAATATTTTGTATGTAATGTATGTTATACAAAATTTAGTTAACACCAAATTTATCTTGATTTGGTCAAATTGAATTATTTTAAGCTACTGTATTGTAATAAAATTTTCATAACAGTTTTAGTTTGCTTTATTCTTTACAACAAATGACAATATTTACTTGCAACTAGTTACATATTTAATTAGTTTGTGAAATAAAAAAGTTGATCAGTGGTCACATGCACCAGCAGAGTTGGCCATCTTCTCCAGGGGTTGGCTGGCCATCTCCAGGGGTTGGCTGGCCATCTCCTCCAGGGGTTGGCCGCAGTGTTGGCTGGCCACTTGAAGAAAATAGGCCAGCTTGATTGGTGCTTCTATGAGAACATTGATGGTCCTCTCACTCTCACAAAGCCGCAAGTTGTCTGGGGATGTAAGAACAATATCAGCCACCCACCAACAGTTACAAAAACATCTTCAATGTTGTTCTCAACACTTCAGCACTAACACTTTTATATCCCACCAGACTTGTGAAAGGTCAAAATATTTTATATATCCTACTGCATTTATGTGATAACTTTTAAATTCTCTACACTCTCTGGTCATATTTTGTGACTTAGTGAGTTGAATAACCAAAACTAAAGACCAACCTCCAATACGTAAAGTTCTCCGCCTTGTGGAGAACAACATTGCTGGACTCGTCTTCTCTACCAGACTTAATGTGATACAGCCAATGGTCTCTAGGATCTAAGGGAGAAAATTGAACATAACGACAGCTAGTTTTATGGTGTCACTCAGCTAGTCTTTTGGTGATACACTTGTCATCATACCCACCTCGATGATGTCCATTGTGGTCGCAGGTAGAACGTCAGGACTGAGGGCACGGCAGAGTCTTGAGACAGCTATCCCAGGGTGCAACATGGTGAAGGTCATGACACGGTGCAGCAGTGTGTGAAGGCCGTCATAATTTAAACTGCCATTGAAATGACGCCAGAGCCGACATTGATAAACAACAGTTTCATTCCTGGAGACAGAAGAGAGCTTGTGCCGTTTAAATCTAATTCCACTCAATACTCAGTGTATACATTTTAATTCGTCTCTATCTAAATCTTATATAAGTACATATATAATAAATATTTTATATATAATATGTACATAATATTAATATAGGTCTCACTTGATACATATAATACATATAATACATATAATATACATATAATATTTATAATACATATAATATTTATAATACATATAATATAATATATATAATATAATATATATAATATATATAATATAATATATATAATATAATATATATAATATAATATATAATATAACATATAATATAACTTATGTTATATTATATAACATAATATATCATATAATATGTTATATTATGTTATATTATATGTTAAATTATATAACATATAATATAAAATATACTATAACATAATATATATATATATATAATATGTATAATAATATATATAGTATTATATATATATATATATATAGTATTATAATTATAAGTATTTAAACAAGCGGCCCACGCTTTTATTTATAGTGATATAAATAGTAGTGCATTAATATATTTAAAGGAAGTATTTTTTTATATTTAAAGTAACCGCAGAATTATTATATTTTTAAAAATAATTTTATATTTAATAAAAATTGTATTATTTTCTTGTTTTTAGTGAATTTATAAAAGCTTGTAATTATAAACGTTTTTATGTATTTATTAATGATAGGGTTTTCTGTGGCAGGTTCCAGTTTAAAGGGAAGTAATAAGCAAGAAAATTCTAGTATTCGATAATCGCGGCTTATTTACCTTTTACCGCCAGCAGTTTTCTTGTCTCTCTGAACTTGGACCATCCACGGCCTGACGTGTCGTCTGCTGACAAACTTTCTCTCGGTCACACCTGCTTTAAACACCTGGCGTGGATTGAGAGTTAAAATCTCGTCATTTACTAGGAGGAGACGTACGAATCGTGGACATATTGAGATAGAATAAAGGTGGTACCGTACATTTAAACCAATCTATATTTGTCTTATTGTACACTTAAAATAATCTATATTTGTTAGCAAGTTTCTTATTTTGGCCAGATAAAAGAATGTTGCGCTCTCAAAATATAACATATAACAGCATTAATATTACCAAGCTACAAAATTCACTATAATTAAGAAGATATGAATATCAAGCAGATTTACTTTTAAATACACTGATAAAATCGTCGTTATGTATATAGCGGTTCTCTATACTTTGAAACATTGTGCTGTGACGGGATAGTAGGAGTGGGCTTCGACACGTTTTTGGGTGGTTTGTTTTATATAGTGTTAAATGTGACAGGTGGTTGGTCAAATAGCTCACGTTTATATGTATGTATGTATATATATATATATATATATATATATATATATATATATATATATATATATATACCATATATAATCCATATATAATCCATATATATATATATATATATATATATATATATATATATATATATATATATATATATATATATATATACCATATATAATCCATATATATATATGGATGGTGATATCCTGAAATGACCCGCTATTTCACCTCAACAACCCACTCACAGCTCCATGTTTTTCCATGGAATTAAAGTTCCACAATTAGCTTAAGTTTGCCCAGAATAAATCTAAACATGTCTTAATGTCGTCAGCAGGCAACAAAAACAAAAGCCACAAACTGTCACTCGTTCGGTTCAAACAGGCAGTTCGGGCTGCTCATCTAAGTCAACAATAGCGGTCCCCAGGTGACACGCCGAACTGGTGACACAATCAACTGGTGACCAAACAAACTGGTGACACAATCAACTGGTGACCAAACAAACTGGTGACACAATCAACTGGTGACCAAACAAACTGGTGACCAAACAAACTGGTGACACAATCAACTGGTGACCAAACAAACTGGTGACCAAACAAACTGGTGACACAATTAATATATTAGTCATACCCAAGGCTTAGAGGAAGTGACACTATTCGTAAACCTGTACCTTCCACTTTTAAGCAGTTATTAGATTATTTTATAATCTAGCACCCGATAATGTCCCCACCCCCAACAAGACACACCGAGTAGAGAGCCTGTGATACCCCAGTCATCCGTCTTTGGTTAGACCACGGTACACACTACTCTCATCTATTGATTTGTGTTTTGTTTTAAGAATTAAAAAATTCCCATTACGCTTTTTTCTTGACCGGAAAGGCGGGCGCTCAGAAATTTCCATTCGCATTTTAATTTGTAAGACAAACAAGCCTGACCTAATTAATACATTGACTGATTGGAGAATTAAGGCTATTCATTAAAACTATGGTCACTCGCAGATGTCAATCTCTGCTACATATCAGTCAACTCAGATAATCAGATCAGTCAACTCAGATAAATAACAATCAGATCAGTCAACACGTTCTGTAGAGAGTATCTGGTTGTGGGGAAGTCTTATCATGCTGCGGTAAAGTCTTAACTTGATGTGGTAAAGTCTTAACTTGATGTGGTAAAGTCTTAACTTGATGTGGTAAAGTCTTAACTTGATGTGGTAAAGTCTTTCTCCGACTACCGTAAACGAGCGAGTACACGAAGTATTGCCGATGTACACGGCCTATCAACAAAACACACGGCCAGCATGTTTACGTCAAGCAGGTACAAGGTCATGGTCACTTCTAATGCACCCGATATATAAACAACCTCACGTGCCACGAGACGCTTCTTGGCCTTCACACGTGAGAGGTGGGTGGGGGAAGGAGGAGAGGGGTAGGTGGATGCTTTCAACATATGGAAGAGGGCAACAAAAGGTGGATCTTCTTAGCTGTTGATGGAAAGAGTGAAGAAATTATATATATATATAGGCCCTATATATATATATATATATATATATATATATATATATATATATATATATATATATATATATATATATATATATATATATATATATATATATATATATATATATAAACCGAGTCCGCTGGAAATGTGTTGTTGCAGCCCTTTGCTCCCCATGGGCCACATAAGAATGATATATATATATATATATATATATATATATATATATATATATATATATATATATATATATATATATATATATATATATATATATATATATATATATATAAACCGAGTCCGCTGGAAATGTGTTGTTGCAGCCCTTTGCTCCCCAGGGGCCACATAAGAATGATATATATATATATATATATATATATATATATATATATATATATATATATATATATATATATATATATATATATATATATATATATATATTTATTTATTTATTTATATCCTGAATGAAAATGTGAGGGACCTACAACATAAGACGAGAATGAGCTACACAAGAAAAAAGTCTGGGACCCGCTTCAATAATTCTAGACGGCGGACATTGTCAAGCACCAATCCACACAGGTGCTAGACTAGGACACAAAGGACAATGGACGACATCCATTTAATGATCACACACGATACATTAGCGTCACATCTTTCATTTGCTAATGTTTACTAAACAGATTAAAAAAACTCGAGTATATTCAACTAGTAAATCCAAACAGAACCGGACATCTATTGAAACATCTAAACTCGTACACAAATCGTGCGACGTGAAAACGGTGCCAGACAAAAAAAAACCTTAGTCAAAACGGCTAGCGGAAAATTGGACACTGTCATATCGGCTGCCTACAAAACGGCCCCCATCCCCCGTACAGTTCCCCTCTATGTCACCCGGCAAAACGGCCCACTCAGTTGACAAATATGATAACCCTGACATAAGAGAAATATGCAAAGCTATCTACAGACTTGTGTGTCCTACTGGTCCGGCTATCTACAGACTTGAGTGTCCTACTGGTCCGGCTATCTACAGACTTGAGTGTCCTACTGGTCCGGCTATCGACAGACTTGAGTGTCCTACTGGTCCGGCTATCTACAGACTTGAGTGTCCTACTGGTCCGGCTATCTACAGACTTGAGTGTCCTACTGGTCCGGCTATCTGCAGACTTGAGTGTCCTACTGGTCCGGCTATCTACAGACTTGAGTGTCCTACTGGTCCGGCTATCTACAGACGAGTGTCCTACTCGTCCGGCTATCTACAGACTTGAGTGTCCTACTGGTCCGGCTATCTACAGACTTGAGTGTCCTACTGGTCCGGCTATCTACAGACTTGAGTGTCCTACTGGTCCGGCTATCTACAGACTTAAGTGTCCTACTGGTCCGGCTATCTACAGACTTGAGTGTCCTACTGGTCCGGCAAGTTTAAAAACGTTTGCGTCAGATCGAATATTGATATTGTTGCATAGGGACCAAATCTGTAAGAACCAATACGGAGCCTAGACACCGTGTGAGATGACAAGGCTATAGTTGGCTTTATCTCTAGAGTAGAGTACATACATGTCTGAGGCCTTAAATCATTGACTGCGGATTAAGGAAATGGCTGAACGGAACGTTCTCCAACTTTAGGAACCCCACATTTTCTCTTATCAACAAGCTGAAAAAAAAAATCATTTTCCTATCGATTTTGTTTTTAGTATTTTTACTTTAAAAATAAACTGTTGTCCCTTTGACGGACACATACACACAAGCTCTACTGTAGCTGTCATCGGTTCATGTCAGACATTGTTGAAGATGAGCTCTCTCTCTATAATACAACGTGTCGTTGCATTGAAACAATTGTATTTTTGATTGACTTCGCCCCTCGCTGATGGAACACGACCAGTGTGTACATTACACCAGGATAGTCCAGCCTACTTTGTCGGATCTGCATGTATTAAGCGGACTGATCACACACATAATACCAAGATTATGCTACATACGTAGCATAATCCTGCGCTTTTCATTCGATTTAGCATAACAAGTACTAAAATTATGCAGCAAGTTTATCCTAGTATCCTAGTATAAAAGTTGTGTTTAAATATTATTTCCTATATGTTTTGTCATTTAAGCCCGATATTATCTTTAATTTTCATCATTAAAAAAAAAGCAACAAAAAACAACAACACATCCTACTTAAAAATGTTTGTTTATCGGGCAACGATTAGTCAGCAGCGCCTCTGGCAATCTTGATCCGTCGTGTGGCTACCTCTTCATAACAGCTCTACATTGTCGTCATATCATAGCTTTTGATTATCGTCTTTGTTTAAAAGATGTGACATCCAACTTATGGTTCAGGTGATCACATTACTGATGTTGCATTATGCTGTCATCAGACACGTTACTGCTGTCGTTAGACACGTTAATGCTGTCAACCGTCACGTTTTTAAAGTCGCTGTCCCGCTAAAGTATTGAATGTACAATGAGTGAAATCCATGACTCTCTGATGGAAGTAAAAAAAAATGAGGAGTCTTACATTAATTACATTTGCTATTGGTGCCACGTCATGGCAGTTCAATCAAGCCGCAGATCTGCCGTTACTATAGCAACCGGTGCTCGCGTGCCTGGCGTGTTCTAATAGAAAACCCACAACCTGTTGCATGTTGGGTAGCGCGTCATACATGTTGGCGCCTCCGAACTTGTTCTAAGTTGGTCAGACTATAGACCGGGGGGGGGGGGGGGGGGGTGGGGGGGGGCACAGCGGTTTAAACGTTTCCTCCATGGACCCACAATATGGTTGTTGACGAATAAGTGCTCTCGTTCTGTATTTGGGAATACATATACATATGCATATATTTACCCATATATATATATATATATATATATATATATATATATATATATATATATATGAATATATATATATACATATGAATACATATATATGCATATATGAAACCAACTGGTATCAAACACTACTAATTGACAAAGATTCAGACGTAAAACATATGGAAGAGATGAATCAAACTAAAAAATTTCCCATTGAATAACTAACACAGTCAAAGCTTTTTCCCAACTTTAAATCAATTAAATCGTGAAT